AAAAAAAAAAAAAAAAAAAAAAAAAATAGAAAAGAATAGAAAGAATAGAAAAATGTTTGTCACTCCTGTCTGAGGAAGAAAACGAGTCTACGATTTGTACAGTGTATTAAGATTTTATTAAAACGAATTCAAAGAGTCAGAATATAATTAAGTTTCAAATACAATTGTTATAGATTATTAATTTATCCATTACAAGCTATAATATGAAATGTATAATATAAAGGTTACAAGGTAGGCTAAGCCGCTAGTAAAATAGTGTGAGTAGTATATTGCCAAAAATTTAACAATATCCACTTTCGTTACATACCAGACATTATAAAATATTGAAAATCGAAAAATGAGAGACTCGCATACTCGTTTTTTACCCGCACCCATCCACGCGCAGTAACTAGGAAATTCTACAATATGTACCTAATCGCTAATTAAAAGTTTCTCGCGTGAGTTTCATCTAACATCTGCGTCGAACGATATTACGTTATAATCTCTGAAAAGTTACGTCTCTGTAAGATTCCACTTTGCTATCTAGAAATCCTGCATTTTAAATACTCTCAGTGTTTTACAACGTAGCATGTAATCGTGTAGAGCTTAATTTTTATTTTTACATGATTTTACTTCTTTTTTTTCTTTTTGTAATCGAGAAGCGAGACCTACATTTTACGACTATATCGTGTTTGTGTACCTGTATACCATATGTATATAAATATCTCGAGACGAGTATATAATAATTCTTTCTTTTTCTTTTTTTTTTTTTACGTTATTTACTCTAAGTCGAATCACAACATTTCTTCATCGCGAACCGTCCAACGATCATAGTAATCGAACATTAAGAGACGGATCATTGAATTTAAGCACAAAATGCGATCAGACGAAACTTCTAAGCTTATCCTTAATATATGTAATTCTACAGAAGCTCAAACGTGCGTACACGCTACGTAGTCCCTTAAAAGCAGGCGGTGCCGGTGATTACATTAATTCGTTACAATAATATTACTAATGTTCAGAAGAAATGAATACTGGACCTTAACGATATTCATTGAACGATCGTTTATAATACAATCGGATAAATTGTGTTGGATACGAAAGGGTTACGCAGGCAAGGCTGTGTAACAAGAAATTTTTACAAAATCACGAAAGTCTCGGCTGAAAGATCGTTTCCTAAGGACGTTTTATATATTTATTATATATGCATGTATATTGTATTTCGACAAAGCACTGACGAAGATAGTTCCTCGCGGACCGACGATCTTTCATTTCGACCTTTTCATCTCTGATCAATTTGATTCGGATTCAATATCGACAAAGGTATTGTCTAATTTTTTGATTTAGGGATGTTCCATCGTTGTCAGTAAGAATTGTCGGTTTCTTGTGTTTCTTGTTGCGTCTTCCGGTTTATCGAAGTGTTCTGTTAGTTTCTATTGAACACGACGAACGCGAAAGAAAATAGCGTCGTCGATCGAGTTATCCACAAAGATATCAAAAGTGGTCACTGGTTGAACTTTATAAGATGATTTACTTGAATAGTGATGAGTACATATACAAGTACTTATGTAGTTGGTATCGTCACAGAGAGTTCGTTTGGGCATGAAAAACCGATATTTTCGGAACAACGTAGTCCCACGAGAACGAGAAGTAATCCAAACACTTCCCCATATTTGGATTACAGTATCGTTCTTCTATCTTCACGTTCTTCTACAGTATCGTGTATCTATAAACTGTGACAGTTCAGGGAACAACAGCTTGCCTTGATCTCTCAGACGATTTTATTATTAAAAATCGATCCAGGATCACAAGAGGATTCTTAAGTGACCTTCTTTACAAGAAGTACGGACTTGCTGTCCTATGTGATCGTTGGTACTGGACAATTTACCGAACGATTCCGGTTTCTCTTCCTCTGTATCCTTAAGTTTGATGTCCCTGATTCGAAGTTCCTTATATAGTCGTTTCGCGAATATAGTCGAATCACGAATGTATGTTTCTCAAAGGAACGAAGATTTCTTGTTGGAATAGATCGAAACGATCGGCTGTGATAAATGAATCGAGACGAATCAACGATTTGATTGATCGTTAGGTATTCGGAAGGAGAATACGAAGGAAGAAGAGAATTTAACGAGAAAAGAAGGATAAGACGTTAATTAGTCGTAAGTTTCCATATCTTGGATCGTTATCGACGATTATATGAGAAACAGAGCAAAATTGTTTACTCTTCCTATGTAGGAAACGTTTCTCTGGATCGGAGGGCGCGATGAAGAGCGGAATATTCCATGGTTTTACGATACAAGAGATTTTACAAAAGTGAGCGAGTGTCTTTGTGTGATAAAGACGAGGCACACTGCTTGTCTCTTCGTTAATTTTCCTTTGTTTTGTTTTCGTTACCATAAAAGCGGAGGGAAACTAACGACTCGAGAAAAGCATCTTAATCGATACTGCTCTAAATCGCGTTAATTATTATACTAGAGATATTCTTACAAGCGAACGATTACTTTCCACAGAGCTGTATTATAAATCGAAGATTGTTTCAATGGACATTTCGTCGAGATACAAAGAACGCGATATATCGAGTCTCGGTTACTTAATTAGATATGGAACAGTGGAGGGTACGTTCTATCCGAAAACTGAAACCTTCCCCGAATTTCGTTTGCGGATCAGATCGATCCCTCCTCGTTATCCTCTTAAATCCTTATCTAATAAACATTTGCTCGTCTCTCTTGTTCACAAAACGCAGCTGCATTCTTTCTTATTTTGTCTGCTTTTTTTACACATTTTTTTCTCATATTTTTGTCATTTTTTTTTTAATTTTGTTTTTAAACTTTTATATTCCATTCTAAATCCCCCACGAATATCACATACGCTCATTAATTCAATTATCGCTTAAATCGCGCAATCTCGGTTATCATTATCGATGATCGTTAAATGATCGATTTAAGATAGCGTTAATCGTTAAAAAGACATCCCTAAATTTAGTTGATACTTTTACGGCGAGGATGCTATACAAATTGAACGTTATGTGTGCAGAAGACAAGAGTACATTTTAGGTGCGGGATCGATAATAACTAAGCGAGTCGAGCTTACACGATATTATATAATATCTATGAATTATCTTCTGTAAATGTTAAGAATAATGATAATCATAATAATTAACAATAATATAACAATGACGATAGCAAGAAGAATCTGTTAGCTATACGTTGCACATAGATCACAGAGTGGATACAGTCGCTAGGCATTCAAAAAATTAATCTACAAATAGTGCAAATAGTGCCAAGCCTAGTATTATATATGTATATATAATTTTCTTCTTCTTTTATATTGGTATATATATATATATATATAGATTTATATATATTTATTTATTTATTTAATTAATCTCATCTGTTTTTTATATGTAAATATGTACTATGTACGCGAGAGCGCAGGCACTAAATTGTTGAGATACAATCGTACCGGACTATCGATGATTCTCATTACTTACTCGGGAAGAAAAAAAGATGATTTCAATGTGTGTTTGTGTGCAGATATATCGATACAGCGTGTCTGTACGCGTATAAAGTATCATCGTGAATCGACGTTAGCTTTCGATAATGAGGTTTGGTGCGATTAATAATAAACTAATACAGTCGTGTAAACGCATACAATTTATGTTTGGTCGTGTTCTATCTAAGGTGAAGCCTCTCGAGGTGATTTCGTCCGTTCTATTCTTTTTCAATCTCTTTGTTCTTATAGTAAACTTACTAACAGTCGACGCGAAAAAATTAATCCTTTCAAATTTTTTAACACGCGAACCGTTCTTTTACTATCATTTTTGACGAATATTCTTTCTCGAGCAACGAATAGAGCTTGTCTTACGAGGCAGGCGGCTATAGAATGGATCGAGCAAGACACGTTCGCAAAGTTCAGAAGCATGTGAAAGTAAATCTTATGGAGCACTCGATAAGAAGCGATAAGGGATAAGGATAAGTCGGACGAACAATCGATCGTGGGTGAACGGGTGTAACGCCTACGAATCTCACGGTGATGAGAAACGACCGTGCCGAGCTTACGTGTAACCCCCATGTATATAATACGTACATGTAAGTACCGTTATCTTCGTTTCCTGTTACGCGTAACGAACATGATCGCGCACGATTTCTTGTTAATCCTTACTTTAAACACGTTTATCAAGGAACAGATACATTTCTGCTCGATGGTATGCTTAAATATCACGCGGCTTAATTGGTTCGCTACGCTATGTATATAAGAAAGTATGCGTAGCGCTACCCCCACGATGTCGGTTCAAACACTTTTCGTCTGGTCCCATTCGTGTTGGCTTCTCGAAAAGAAAAACCAGAAGAGATTACTATCTTTCTTCTGGCATGAACGATCGGTACTTCGTCAGTCGATATCTTGTCTTGGGAATATGTAATTCACAGAAAGGATCTGCCAGGAAGTCATCCACAGGCGATCCTCTTGTCATCGATAATAATCTCGCGTTTCCCGCAACAGACACTTCCTCGATTCCTTCGTACGATAATAACACGTATCGATTTTGTATCAGACCAGCTGACGATTTGAAATACCTACACACGATAAAGCGCAGCTACTACCACACCGGAGTTCCATCTTTTAGCTCTAATTAAGATTTCGATTACTGGAGAAACTATCCGTTGTGGATCGTAAAACGTAGAGTCAATGTGTGTGTGTGTGTGTGTGTGTGTGTGAGTGTGCATATGTCGTAAGGTTACATTTCACGTTGAAAAAATCGAGTACTTTGTACGCTGATGTAATATTAAAAATACACAATACAATAAGATAGTAGAGATAAAAGACAGAACGCGATGGATACGAAAATTATCTCTCACGGACGAGCCGACCTGTATCGACTTTGGCTGATTGTTGTTCCGCGATCGTCGATGGATCGCCGTT